AAAATGAGTGGGAAAAATTGACCTTAAGATTTTCTAGGGTTTCTCCAGGAACCTTTCTTTTGTTAATAAGATATCTATATATAATTATATAGCACTAGTAATCGTGCCCGTGCGTTGCACGGGGTCGCATTCAACAAAGGAAAAAAAATTAATTATTTGAAATAAATGATTGTAAAAATTGTATAAAAAATCTATATCTGTGAAATTCAAATTACAGCTATTATCTTATTTCAATGTTATCATAATCGGACCGGACACAAAATCTGATAGGCTTTCGGGTCACGGCTGGAGCGGTTCATCCGGGGTCAACCTGAGTTTTTTCATTTTTCTATTTTTTTTTTAATTATTTTACTATTTTTATAAATATAAAAATATTGTCCTCTATGTATTTGTTATGTATTCCTCTTATTATTTCACATTTTTATTCCAATATTTATAATACAATTTTAATATACCGTTTTTTCTTCCTCTCATTTCTTCTTACGTCGTTCCATCTTCACTCACCTACACCACCCCCAACATTTCTTTCTTCTTATTCGTTCTGCAACCTCCTGTTTTTTTTTCTCCGTTTTCTCTATGTTCAAAGGAAACATCATCTGCATCATCTACTCCTGTTTCTCTTCGTTTTTTTTTCTCCATGTCCAGGCTTCACTTCATCTCTTTTGCTCAGCTTTGTTTTTTCTTCAGCCCACGGATCTAGCCCATCCATAACTTCGATTGAATCACCTACGACCCAGATCCAACTATCGAAGGCAATCCCCCGCCCAGATCCAACCACCACAGTGATCCTCAGCCCAAATCCAACCATCTACTACAGTTATAGGCTAAACCCGACTCGTTAATTGGTTTCCGAGTCTACCGGTCGAACCGGAGTTTTGATGTACTGACCCCAATTTATGAATTTTTCGGTTTCTGTTGTAGAACCAGATCGTATAGTTGGCGGTTTGCAGTCGAATCGGTCGGACCGGGTGATTCGATCCGATTCCGACGACATTGCCTTATTTTATTGTATCATATATACACATACACACACGGAGTGTTAATATATAAAATATATGTTAAACAATAAATAATTCAAATGTAATAAAGGGGACGGTTATTTCAAATGTCAATTGTTTCTCACTTCAATACCGCCTAAATAATAAATAGGTAATGACATTATACCATTGTTGAAAATTAATATCACAAAAACATAAAAAGTCTCATTTTTATATATTTCTGTAATACCACACACACAAACTCCTCACACCCCTCTGTTTCTTCTTCACAAACCCTCCCTCGCACAACTTCCTCTTCTTCTTCTTCTTCTTCTTCTTCTTCTTCTTCTTCTTCTTCCTCCTCCTCCTCCTCCTCCTCCTCCTCCAGTTTTTTCTTCTTTTTTTCTTCTTACTTCTTCTTCCTTATTGTTCTTCTAGCTCTTCTACATCTTCCTCATTATTCTTATTCTTCTTCTTCTCTTTCTTCCTCTTTTTCTTCTTTCTCTTTCTTCTTCTCATTCTCCTTCTTTCTCCTTCTTCATTTTTCTAATTCTCCTCATGCTTCTTCTTCCTCCTCCTCCTCCTTCTTCTTGTTGCTTCATCCTCCTCCTTCTTATTCTTCTAAATATATATGAGAGCAACTCCAATGATACAACATTGAAATGGATCGTTAAGTATTTAATTGATTCTCGTTTTATATTTTGATACTCATATACTCCAACTGCAAGCATTAAATGGATCATCAAATTTTAAATATAAGTAGAAATATATTTAAAATTGACCCATGTAAATTCATGATAGGTTTTTTTGGGTAGTTAATATTTTGATACCTTTTTTTCCAAGATGCACTTTTACATCGTCGGAAGTTGAATATCAAAATAGCTACCAATTTAATTCCTCAATTGAAGATGAAAATTTAAATTTTGTAACATTATAATAGAAGTTATACCATTTAATTATTCTATAGATTCCTCCATTAGAGCTGCTACGAAGAAAGAAGAGTAAAAACAATACTAACTATTAAACAACTTTAAAAAAGTGCATGATGAATTATTAAAATACATGATAATAAAGAAATTCTAATAAAGAAAAAATTGATAAACGTATATGGCATATACAAAACCCATACACAGGACAATGAAAATGTAAACAACCAACTAATTGCGAGGCATATAATCTCTGGATAAAATAGCACAAATACAACATAAGGCAAAATAAAACAGTTGTCTAACGGAACCCCAATATAGAGTGAAAATTAATATAACCAAACAAAAAATAGTAACATTATGTCATTAACAATAACCACTCAATAAAATGGCATAAAGCAAAATAGTGATAAAAATTGGAAACGTAAGTAAACTCATGACGGAAGAACAGTTATACCTCCGATCCCATCTGCTAAAAAAAATATTATCAGTAAATTAGTTTTGTGATATGAGGATTTTCCGATTTGGCCATAAGAACAGTTATTTACTTAATGGAGGATATACGGAAATAACTGCAAATAATTGTAGGTGAGAGGGTATACAAATAATTTTGTGATAGTAGTGGGAGGGTATATGGGAATAACCGCAAATAATTTGTTTTATATGGTGGGTAGTTTTTTTTTTTTTTTTTTTTTTTTTATGTATTTATCATTTATTTGTTTATATACAAAAATCCAAAAAACGAAAAAAAATATTCAAAAAAAAAAAATCTACCGGTATTAACGTGCATTCATGAGATGCGATGAGTGGGCGGTTAACGTGCATTCATGAGATGTTGAACAATCTAACCCAAAGCTTCATATGTTGTCGAAGTCTAGCATATCATCGTTTGACACCTCTTACTTCTTTATTTCTCAACATCCTCAAAAATAATACTTGGGGAATCCGTGACAAAGTGTACGGGAAGACACTTAGTTTTGATAAAAATCATAGAAAAAAAAATTATATAAATAAATAAGTAATAAAGTAGTAGATGGACATAGAAATAAGAGGGTCTCAAGATACACCCAAGAATTGTTGTTGGTTTCCACCTCCAACGAAGATGAATCATTCACAACCCTAATTTTGATTAAAACACAAAAGAAAATTCAAATATGAACGATTTTCTTGGAATATATATGAATTTATTATATAGTAGACGTGGGAAGTTATTAATTAACGGGGAGTTACTGGAAGTGGGGAGTTGTTGTAAATGTGCATTAGTAAATGTGTGTTATTAGGATAATTATAGATAATAAATATTACCTAAATAGGTAGTGACGATAATAATTGTAATAAAAATAAATTTAAATTTCAGTAATAACATTAACATTTCTACAAATTTGATAATGCAACATGATAACTACGCAAAATGCTTAACAAAATTCTTCTATCTCGATTAAGTAGTTAGATCTTGTTGCGGGTCGCATTTTATTGTGCAATTCTTTTCTCGGATGCAGCAAAATCAGTTTCGCGATCACTTCACTCTTATGTGAGTGCAACAAAACTTTGCCACATGAAAGGAAGCGTCGGTGAAACATGGAAAAAAAAAGAGAGCAAAATGTTAGTTAAAGTTTTACGAAAATCATATGAAGAAGGTAGCTAGGTTTTGGGAAAAACTTGCATACACGATTCACATTTAATAGAAGAGTAATTGTTTAATCAACCACAAAATGTATCTACTACTCTTAATACACGGTTATATGGTAGTTGGTTTTTTTTTTTCCTTTTATGGGTGGCAAATAATTTTTGTCATGATATGCACGAATCTTTCATGTTTATTTATCAAATAAAATCATTGGATAGTTTTTCCAATTTTTACTCTTGCGTTTTAAGTTTTTTCCCCTTATGCAATTTTTTTTCTCTAAAGTTTTTGATTGAATTTACAACGATGACAATTCAAATTTATATACAAAAGCTGCAACAATCATTAAAAAGAATGCTAATTTAATTTTCTCGATAAAAAATAATGAGAACATTCACATTAGTTGGGCAAACAAAAATTCACTGCATAAGTTCTCACATCAAAATCTATGCCAACTCTGTCAGAATATGATGGATCAACGAACGAAAAAAGAAAAAAAAATCATAGATTTGTTTTGCCTATTCAAGAAACAATAATGGCCTTGGAGCTATCAATATACTCACAAACTTAAAACCTAATAATATAAATAATAAGTTCGCATAATTATATTACATGAGCCTAGCATGAATGTTTGTAGATGTACAACATGTTGCCAAGCATTTGGTGTATGATGTGAGATGATGATGATTTCTTCTCTTCTTTACTGATTTTTTCCCCTTTAATGTCTTAGAATTGCTGAGTAGCTTCAATTAATGGTCTAGAGAAAACAAAAAAAAAAATGCATTAATCTTAAAATAGGGATGCAACATCTCGAACGAATTAAAAATATAGCAACAAAGTCTTGTAAGTTATAAAACTTAAATATTTTAAATAAATTATAGCAATAAAAGCTTTGAACTAACAGAAGCTCATAATAAATATTGTCTGACATATTTTTTTTCGTTTTACCGAATTGTGTGAGTAGCTCGCTCCAACCACGAATTATTGTTGATACGAACAGACTTGCTGCAAAAGAAATTTACAATATGTCAAACAAAAATGCAAAAATAAATAAATAAACGGCATAACACAGTTCTTAATAAACAAAGAAGACGACGAACAAAATTTTAAATGAGAAAGAAGAAGAAGCTTGGCAAAAAAAATGTGATTTTTGATGGAGTTCTCATGAGTTTAAATAGAAGAATGAAATTGATAGGGGTTGAGATCATGGTTGATAACTTCTATCATGATGAATTAGTGGGATTAGTGGGTGGTTAGAGTAGAGAAGAAAAATAAAAAAAATATAAATATAAATAATTAGAAATATACCTGCGGTACATTAAATATAGGAGTTAGTGTTTAAATTATAAATTAATTAATGATTAAATTAGACATTTATTAATTTACAAAATTAACCCTAGGTTTAGGTTTAGGTTTTAGTTCAAAATATCTTCGTTTTATATATAAGATCACATCCACATCAATACCAAAATCACAACAACATTATCATAAACTCATTGAAATTTTCAATTTTAAATTTGAACATAATAAACAGTATATATATATTTACAAACTAAACTCCAATCACATAAACTTTGCACCACCATCAAAAAATTGCAACAAATCCGAACCCACATTAGACACCCAACTCACACTAGTATCGAAAAACAGTTCCCAAAACCAAAGATCCACCGCAAGTACCGACGAAAATATCAGCAAAGCAAGCGTTTGGTATCTATTCAACGGCCAACCAAACACTTGAGCCAGTCTCTTCAAAACGGGAAACGAACGGCTCGAGAGATTCTTGTCTCTTATGGACCAAGCCGTTATCCACTGCACTTGTGAAGGAACGAGATCGAAATCCTCCCTTAGCCGACGCCCCAAATCGGGCATGTGGCCCCCACCGTATAGAATAGCTATTTTATTTTTCCCGCTATCGATTGCTTGATGGAGCGCCTCTGTGGCAGCTCTGTTTCTCTCTCCTATGATCACCGATTTCTCTTCCACGTCAGCAGTCACCATTGAGAACCTGGATAATAGTATATGGTTTGTAATAATTTAGTTTCTTGTATTAGGTAATTATCTTTTCTAGGAGTTGAATTTCGACCAAACATCCTTCGTATGCTTGATTAAAATAATGGGCTCGAAATCTAAATTCCAAACATTTGACTAAGTATATTGCCTGCCTATCAAGAATAATCATAGTTCCCAAACAAGGCGTAAGCTAACTTAGGGCAAAATTATATACCTTAGGGTTCTGACATGAGAGAGATTTTATGAACGAGTATACTCAATAAGTATCACATAAGCTATGATTTGTATAAATAGATAATTCTTGCATATAGTTACAGCAAATGGCAGATAAAAATGATAGCATCAGTAAAATAAATGATTTGCTGATATATATATATATATTTAGGGAGGCGATCGTAACCTCATTGGCAGATAAATATGAGTCAAGTTAGACGAAATTGAACTTTTTTTTAACTAGCATAAGAAAAAAAAAAAAATTTAAACAGAACAAAGTAGTAAAAATATTTTCTCAAGAACACTTACTCGGATGTTAGCCTCTTTGCTAAGAAGACTTTCATCGCTCCACCAAAATCGAGCCTGGATAAGGCTTCTAATTCGGGATATTCCGAGTCACCTCCCACATCAGCACAAACACTCCCAATGATAAGAAGCCCAACAAGAGGCATAGGCACAACACGCGAGGCCCACAAAAGCTTCGATCTCCAAGGCCCAAGATCTTCTCGAGGCGGAGTAGTAGGCATCACCATAGCTTTAGTTGATTTAAGTGTCATATCTCTCGCAAACGTGAAAAAGCTCTCCCCTTTTTCTTGCTGAAATATAGATATATCAGAGCAACACGTTTCAATTTTCATAATCAATTAATCGGTACACAAAGTGACGTATAATTTTTACGATATGTTGATGGTCTTTTTTTTTAAATATACCTGAAGTAATTTGAAGGTTTCAAAGTCGAGATCCGCATGGTACCAATTTTTGGATTCGTAATCGAGGCAGTCTAATTGGAAATCGAGCGTAAGTAGCTTCGCCATTTGTCGTTGAATGAATCCAATGATGTTAAATCCACGTGAGCTTGAGCCTTTGGGTTTCTTTGTGGCTTCGGGGTTTCTTCTGTTCTCTAAGCTTTCTCTGCTAGCAACCATCTCATACAGAACACAATCGTATGGCTCTAGAACTTCCTGCAATGTATCGAAGTACCTGAACATATACAAAATCGATTCCAATTAAGAGAAGTATTAGAGAAACACTCGGACGAAAATGAATCCATCTTCATAGTTGATTAACTCTAAATCAAAACTCATCATAATCAATATCAAACATAATAAAAAAGCCCAATCAATACAACATTGTTTCCTACACTATGGTGCAACATTCAATTGATAAATGATTGTATACTTTTCATTTGCTGAACCAGATAAAACACACTATCATCATGATGCAGTTCAAATTTAAACATAATTTATGCACTGAAACCACATTCCATAGGCAATTCGTGTATTTTTTTTATCCATGAAAATACAGCAATCAAAAGAAAAATCTATCATCTGCAATTCCAAAAAAGCAAATTAAAAAATTACAAAAAAAAAAAAAAATCAGAGAAAAACTTACTCCTTATCTGCAATGTGAATCGTTGAAACCAAATCAACCTACACAGGCAACAAAACAACAAAATCCGACCGCTCATCCACCATTTGAGAATTAAAAACAAAAATTAAAACAAAAAAAGGAAGAAGAAAAAGCAGAATTGGGGGAAAGGAATGAAAAATTCACCTGAAGAAAGGGTTGAAGAATGGACCAGGGGAACTTTTTGCGGTAGCTAACGACAGCAGTCTGCAATTGAGCATGGTTATCCTTCTTAAACCTCATGAAATCGGCAATCGAATTATTCTGCAAAAACTGCTCGGCCGAACCATCGTCAATTTTGGAGGAAATTCTGAATCTGGAAAGCCGGATAGTTCTCTTCGCCGAGAAGCAGGAGCGGTGGGAGTCGGAGGTGGAACACGTCGACGGAAAAGAGCATGTTAATTTCGGTGATGATATCGCCACTGAGCTATGCACCATCTCTCTCTCTCTCTCTCTGCTTTCTCTCTCTAGAATCTAGATAGAGATTGTGTGTTCTGTGGGGGAGAAAGAGATGAAAGTATATTCGGATTGGAATCTTCGAAATTGGGGAACGTTTTTTCTATTCACTTGTGACTGTAATTAATTGTTTAGCTCTCTATTAAATTTGGGAAAATGGATTTAATAATGCAAGGTGAATAGAAGGACAGAGCATCATTGAGATAACGTTGGATTTTTTTTTAATTTTTTTTAATTAATTTAATGATATTTATAGATTTTGTTCAATATACTTAATGGTGGAATTAGAATTTATTATTAATTAAAATTATATTTTCATTTTTGAATTTCCTAATATTTATGATAATTTATAACTATCATTAACCTAAATAATAGTAATTGCTAATTACTACTCCTCTCTCGTAATTATTTTTGACATTTTATGTTTATTTAATATTTATTATTTTTTTATATTATTTTTTTTCCTTGTAGACTTGTGGGGAAAACCATGGGCCTGATTTCTATAACTTAATGCGGTTAACTAAAAAGAGAATCGATATAGTTGGGCCTTGGATTAAAGTAAAATAAAGCCCAATAAGCTACATGGAAATTGGGGCCTTTTGGTCTAATTTTAAGTGACAAAAATGCCATTTCATTTCAAATAAGAAATTCGCGGTCTAGTTTGCATGTTTCGACAATGATTCTTATGAAAGTTCACAGAAACATTATTACGATTTCTTCTTCCTCTAAATGGTAATGTTAAGTGGCCTTCTCGCGACGTCGTGGGCAGCAAATGCCCCACGTCGCATAAATCCAAACACTTTACAGTACCATTAAATCGGTATAAGAGACGGGCGGTGATGACTTGCGCTTACTAGACTTCTCATTGAAGACCAACATTTGCAATGATCTACCCCATTACGATGCAATTTCAAAGATTACCCGGTCAAGCTTATAAACTCATTGAATACCCCAATATAATAGGTTAATTATGCAATTACTTTATGTAGTTGGAACTTTGGAAAATCTTGAGAAAAGTGGAGTATCTCGTGTATTTTACCTTTCAACCTTAGAATCTTCTATTCTACCAAAACAAAATTATTTAAAAAAAAAATTATTCGTTTGGATTATCATTTATCACCCCTAACCTAACTATTGTTGAGAAAATCTAGAATTAAATAAAACTATATTTTTCAATGCCCCATTATGACTTGTCTACCTCGGTCAACCCTTGAGCCGCCGGCCGAGTCAAAGATGGGCGAACTTTATGTACAAAAATAGAAGCCATCTTATGTATACTAATCTCGTGTTTTCCTTTTCCCCATAAAAATGCCTTTCAGTTGTACTCAGACGCGTGTTTTCGTCGAAACTTCACTCCCCCAAAACACGCTTTCAACCCCGGAATCTTCCACCACCAATTACCCTTCATTATAAATACCTTTTTCCTCTCCGCCTTTTTCTATTATTATTAAAACCAAATCCCCCTTTTTTTTTTTGTTTTTCTCTCAGATCCCTAATTTCGAATTTTTTCATTTCTTCTCGATCTCGATGAATTCCATGGTGATGATTATCGTTGGGTTTATGTTGATGGCAATTACCCACTGCGCTTCCGCACACGGCGGCGCCGCCCCTGCCCCTGCCCCTTCACCTGCTCCTTCCAACGACGGTGAGTTTACAATCAGATTCGTTCTCAAATATACCTAATTTTTACGAATTATTATAATTTTTTTTTAATTTTGTAAAAAAAATATTGTTGTTTGTGCAGGTGCGGCGGTTGATCAAGGGATTGCTTACCTTCTGATGCTTCTTGCGCTGGCGATCACGTATTTAATTCACTGAATACTATTCTTTTTTTTTTTTTTTTTTTTTTAAGTTTCATAGAAATTGTTTTTATTATTATTATATAATATTCAATTATTTTTTGTATTTTCTCCTGTTATTAGATAGGGAAAAATCCTCCATCTTTTTAAATCTTTGTAGCTTTTGCTTGTAGAGAAATTCCGAGGAAATCGATATATTAATTATTGAATTTTTTTATATTTTTTTTTATAATTATATTAATTATTGAATTAGCAACGTCTCTTTTCAGTGTCTACTGTCTATGATCAGTTGGCAGTTGGCACGTCTGTTTTTATTTATTTAATTATTTATTTATTTATTTATTAATAATACTATTAAAAATTAGATTTTGTAATTAGCACAAAGTTCGAGACTAATTTTCTAATTTAGCCTAGGGGTAAAAGATGCTTACTTCATAAACAATGTAAATAATGTCATTTTACAGAGTGTAATTGGATCCACAGATTTGTCATTGTCTAGAGAGGATATATTAAAATAAGTATCCCTAATTCTTTTTTTGGCTACTAATAACATGTATTTATACTAAAATAAAATTAATCTCTCACTTTATTTTTAAATAACTTTATTAGAAAACTTTTAAGTAGGGTTTGACTGTTGTAGTGTAAACTATATTTGCGTGTGTTTTTTACCTTCACAACTATGATTTATTAATCCGTAGTTAATTAAAATATTAAAGCGTATATTAGACTTAATAACAATCAATCGACTATAAAAGAAATATCGTTGATTTCTTAATTGACTAGAGTCGATAACTTGAAATCGATGAAAGAAAAATCGGTGTGTATCTGACATACAACTTAACTAAAAATGAAAACCCTATTTTAATTATTTAATCTGAAACAAAAATGAATCTATCAACTTGTAGGGTAAATTTCACTTTCCACCTTTGTATTTAGGCTCGATATCATTTTATCACCTGCTACTTTTGATTTTTTCGATTTGCCCCCTTGTACTTGAAAATTTGTCTCAATGTGGCCATCGATGTTAGTTTTTAGACCTTTAGCCTTAACACCGTTTGATCTAAGTCTGAAAATTACAAAAAAAAAAAAAAAAAAAAAAAAAAAAAAACCACCCCTCCATGTGTAAATAATTATTAAAAAAATTAAAAAATTAAAAAAATAAATTGTGATTGTCGTCGTGGACTATATTTTCTCGTTGTGTTGAGTTTTTTTTTTAATAATTATTTAAACAGGGAGAGGTCGTGTTTTTATAATTTCAAAGCTTAAATCAAACGGGGTTAATGTTAAATGTCTAACAACTACCAGCGAGGGCCACATTGAAACAATTTTTCAAGTGCAAGGGAGCAAATCGATTCAATCGAGAGTAAAAGGGGTAAAGTGATACCGAGTACAGGAGGGAAAATAGAATTTACCCTAACTTATATGCATTCCTATACGCGGCGACTATATGCAATCGCAAAATTACTTAGGGGAAGACCAAATCTAATTTTTCATCAAATGAATTACTAAAAGACTATTATACTCTTACTAAAATACAAAATTCCACAACTTCTTTTGTGCAAGACCACACAAGCAAAACCCATTTCATCTTCCTCACAAACCCATTTCACACAAATTCTTCAAAAAAAAAAAAAATCTTTATCTTCTCCAAAAATCCTCAACACCCAAAACCATCAAGTCTTACTAAAACATGCAAATGTTAACATTATGGAGTCACGAGACATCAATATGGAGAATTCTATAGAAAATATAGAAAACAAACTGTGAATGAATGTATTTTTATAGTTAGGTGATCGATTTTTAAGTTTTCAAAACGAAAATTCGCACAGTCAAAATTCGATATTTAGATGTTGATTTTTTAGCAAAAAATCGACATCAACTCTAGATGTCGATTTTTGTGACAAAAATCGACATCTAGATTTTTTGCCAAAAAATCGACATTTAAATGTCGATTTTTCACCAAAAAATCAACAAGTACAGGTCGAATTTTCTTCTTCTTCTTCTTCTTCTTCTTCTTCTTCTTCTTCTTCTTCTTCTTCTTCTTCTTCTTCTTCTTCTTCTTCTTCTTCTTCTTCTTCTTCTTCTTCTTCTTCTCTTCCTCCTCCTTCCTCTTTCATCCTTCCTCCATATTCTTCTTCTCTTCCTTTTCAAGCACCCGCGGTTGGGCGGCTGCAATTCTGCGGATGGGCAGCGACAATTCTTCGGCAGCGGATGGGCGGCGACAATTCTTCTCGTCTTGTGTTCTTCTCTTCTTCCCCTACAACATCCTTCTCTCTCGTTTTTCAATTTCTCCTTTATTTTTTTATTTTTATTTTTATCTTTTTTTCTTTTATTTTTTTTCTTTTTGGTCTTGCAATAGTAATTATGTCTAATTTGAATGAATAATATTAAAATCAATATTGGGGTTATATTTGTAATTTTGAGTCTTGCTCTTAGTAAGTTTATTTATATTTTGGTCTTGCATCAAGTAAGGTCTTGCACTTAGTAATTTTAGTCTTGCATATATTCGTTGCCTTCCTATAATCATGTATGGGCTTGCTTACTTATACTTGAAACGGGCCTAATTAATTTTGACCATATCGGTGAATCAACCCAATATGAGTTGAGTTTGCTCGGCCCGAATTAAATTTAAATAATTAATTCAATATTTAGTAAATGTAATCTTAATACATTATTAAC